TACCAGAGCTTTCATTCTGGTAGAGCTGAAATACTGTGTCTCCCCTTCCACCCACCCCCGAGGTAAACAAGTGGAAACAGTGTTTGTGCAGCTCCTGTGGACGGGCAGGGTGAAGGTCCTTGTGGAGGCTGCAGTGTCTGGCCTCACCAGCTCTGGGAATGAGTTTGGTCACCTCAGATTTGTCGGCAGCCCCGAGGAGAGCTGTCATCGTTTCCCTCCCTTGAGGGAGCAAGCCCACGTGTTCTTTCAGGTAGCACCCACTCACTTGGGGTGTGGTTGCCACAGGCCACCCTGCTGCTCTCCCCGACACCACAGCTTGCCTTTCAGTGCTTGTCAGCCAGCCAGCAAGCGGGACTCAGCACTGGGGTTACCAGAAGTCCTCGGTGCGGCCACCTTTGACTTAACTGCGGGTTAACGGCGCCCTGCTGCGGTGCCGGGGTGCCTCGCTGTGCTTGTAAGCTCTGGCACGAGAGACTTTTCATCCCGCCTTGTGACAGGCAGGTCCTCTGTTCATTTCGGGTGTCCCGGTGTGCAGGTAGCTTGCTGCAGCTGCAGCCATCGTGCTGCTTTCCCTTCAGTGGGACTGTTTTCTTTTCTAAAAAATCCCATCAAATGCATGTAGCTGCAGCACAACAGGACCAGAAGTTGGGATGTGTTAATTTGCTTTCAGGTAATTAATGCCACTGTGCTTTATTTTGCTGTGAAACAAGAGGACACGCAAACTTCCAAACTGCCACCAGGCTCTTCTGCCACTGAGCAAAATGTTGGCTCTCAAATCCTGAGTGTGGCCACAGGGAAAGGAGAGCCTGAGGAGGAGGAGGAGGGAGGAAGGTGCTTCTCCTGGGCACGCTGGACTGCACCCAGAGGTGGCAATGCCGCGTGTCCCCACGTAGCGCGTGATCAAGTCCAGCAGTTTGGGCTTTCAAAAACAACCACCCCGTGCCAACAAGGGAAAACAAATTAACTGTGGCCTCACTCCTGCAAGTTTTAATAACGAGGCTTGGATTGGGCTACTTAGACCACAGATGCAGTGGAGTGACGTAGTAGGGTGTCTGTGGCTGAGCTGAACAATGATTTTTTAATTTCTTTTTTTCCCCCATAAAGGATGTGCTAAGTGAAGTCTGTTTCTGTCCCACAGATGGCTCCATGGGCCGTTTTGGGGCTGTTACAGCACAACTCCTGTAGTTATGAGAAAGAAAAAAATTGATGTTTAGAGCTTTTCCCCAAGGCTGAGGGGTGTGTTGGCTGATGTTGGGGATTCCTTAGAGAAATTGTGAGCTGTAGTTTTATTACAGCAAAGAACTGCAAGGGTGACTTTCTCCTGGTGTCCGTTTTTCACCGTTAGTTTTTGACTGAGAAGTTTAAAGTGATATTTGAATTTAGTATGGTATCTGAGGAGATGTAGGCCCACGAGAGCTCTTTTGCACACCCCCAAGCAGTCTTGCCTGTGCTACGCCTCTTGGCGTAGGTGCGGTTCTCCAGAGCATTGGCCAAAGCAGCCACCTTGGTGACACGTACCCTTGTCTTTCAGCTGCTTTTGCAGGTACGATGGCCCGCGTCTTCGTCTACGGCACGCTGAAGAAGGGCCAACCCAACTACAAGCACATGATCAACACCGCCAAGGGGCTAGCAAAATTCCAAGGAAGGGGCCGCACGGTGGAGAAGTACCCGCTGGTGATTGCGGGCAAGTACAACATTCCCTACATGCTGAACATCCCGGGAACAGGACACCGCGTTGCTGGGGAGATCTACTCGGTCGACGACCAGATGCTGCAGTTCCTGGATGAGTTTGAAGGCTGCCCAGACATGTACCAGCGTACCCTGATGAGGATCGAGGTGGTGGAGTGGGAAGGGAAGGGCGGCGCGGGCGAG